CACCCTGCAGAATAAAAATACAAAGGAGACAAAGCCTTCCCCCAGAAAGTTGCCCTCTCTCAGCACAGCAAACAGAAAAGGACCCCCAGAGAGACCACCTGGATCAGGAATGAATGCTCGCAGATAACAGGATCCAAGTGTCCCAAGAGTCCCTGTTTTGGAGCTTAAAGCATTGCCAAAACCTAGCTGGCATGAATAACCATTATCTCCAGACCTCTGATGAAAAGCTTGTGCTAAAAAGGATGTAGAGTCCACTCAGTAGGACTAAAATTTGATGAAAGGTAGTTAGTCCTAGCAGGTGAGCCATAACATTTCTGACCTGCAGTCGTGAATCAAACAGCGGGTAGAAAACCAATTTAGCAACATATCCTTTTCCATCGTGGTGCTTATAAAATACAGTGTGTTTCATTGAGTAAAAGTGGAAATGGATAATGTAAAGTGCTGTTTAGATCATCTCTCTCTCAGCCTCTAACTGCAAGTAGAATGAAAAGCTGTCCTAATCTGCCTGCCCGGGAAAGGTTTGCTGCCTCTATATCCCTATATTGGCATCTAGTAACAGACACAGGGATGGTATGGGGTCTTTAGAAAGTCACAGATTACCCATTGTGACATGAAGAAGCTTATGTAGAAAGGTACCTTTCCTCCTCAGTGGAAGAGAGCTTGCCCCCTTGTTTGAATGTAGACAAAGAAACTATGGAAGCGTGATCTGCTTTTGTCCAGGATCTTTGAGTCATAACTTAAGCTGCTAAAAGTTGTCCCCCAGTACTCCAGCAAAGGGCTTTTTCTAATTGACACAAAACTTTTTCTTCCAGTGGGGTGGTTTTTGAGGCTTATGAATCACTGGAAATGAGTTTACTTATTACTCTAAAGAATTCACAGGGCTAGTAGTGAGAAGGGCATGGTGAAATAAAGTGTGACTCTGAGCAAGAAAAAGATCAGAGTTTGGCTGTGAGCACAAATGCACGTTCGATGAATTATGTCAGTTTTAAAGAAGCGGATAGAGGCCGGAAGTAAAAACAAGAGCATTAAACATGCTTATTATTTAACCCCAATGTTATTTTCTTCTTACAAAGCTGTTACTGTTATTCTGGGAATGGTATCAGCGATTATTTTCTAACCCAAACCTGAGAAATTTTGTTAGTTATTAAAACTGCCTGGAAAAAAAAAAAAAAAAATCAATGAATTTTGCTTCTTTCTATTCATAATGCCTGTGTGGGCGGATCAATTTTCTTAAATCATTCATTAATTTGCCATATCCTTTTTTTCATTTGTTCAAAATTCTTGTTCACATGCTGTTCACTGTAACCCATGTTCTGAGTTTCAGCTCTCCTGTACCAGCAGCTCTCATGTCAGAATTCAGACACTGGACTAGAAAGCATAGGTGTGAGATGCAGGTGTCAAGTACATAATTCAATTTACTTCCCACAAAACAGTTTTCTAATACTTGCGTAAAGTTTGCCCCTATACAAGCAGTCCTGAAAATAAACTTATTTACTAAGCTGTTTTCCCAACACTATATACAAAAATACCAGAAATAAAAAGCTGAAACATATACAATGAACAATATGTTCATTTTAGCTAGTTCAGAAGAATAAGCCCACTAGATAAGCCATGTGCTCAGACTTTGGCATGATTATTTGCCAAATAGTACCAGACTAGTGCTTTGCCAGACAGAGTCATATATTCACACCCCATTCTTTCATTGCCTAGTATATTGCCTATAAATACGGAAGTTGTAGTTCTAAATTAAGGAGAGACAAGCCAGTTTGGTCAACTGTTAACTGAAGGGTGCGAGAAGTAGTACTCATAAAGAACTTGCTGGTTCCCATCTTTGGCTGAAGAACAGTCATGCAGAACAAGCCCACTGCAGAGAGCCAAACACCTCTCCCTTTGATGGAGAACTGCTATTCTTTTTAAGTCAGGTAGAAATTAGAAGCCGTGCAGAGCGCAAAGGGCTTTAAAAAGGCAGTGAGGGAAATTAGAGTAGTTTGGAAACCATTATGCCACAGTACTGGACTTCTTGGCCTACTACTAATGATCTTTCTCCACTTGAATGCTGGAAGGATATTAAAACCCGATGCAGCAACCAGGGAAAGGGGCTGTGTCATCATAAAAACTAAAGAATTAATGGGTTAACTAGACCAAACAGCCAGGGCTGGACACAGGCATGGGTGAACCGGGCGGTTGCCTGCGGCCCAGACAGAACGGGGGCCCAAAATGTTTATTTTTTTTCTGTTGTTCAACTATTATTATCATCATCATCATCATCATCATCTCTGGCGAAGGGGGGCCCAATCCTAGAAGTTTTCCCAGGGCCACCAGGAGCCTAGGTACAGTGCTGCAAACAGCTCAGGCAACAAAAGCACACACTTAAAGCGAATTCATTGGAACCAACTAGCCCCTTTGCCATTGATTCAATCCCTCAGCACTCCTGTTTCCTCTCAGATACTATGGCTGAAAGTCATTAAGAAGGCATTAGGTCGGCAGATAATTAGGCTGGTTGATAAATACCTCTGGTGCTTCATCATCCACAGGCATCACTGCGATGTTAAAGTTGAGTCCAGCCACCACACCTCCCTGCTGGTTGCCAACAGAAAACTGAAACTGTACAAACAGCGGGTCAGGGTCTCTGTCTCCTTGTGGGGGCATGTATGCAACCTTCAAATGTGTTACGGCATGCTGGTAGGAAAGACAAGTGACGGCATCACACAGACCTCACAGATTTCATTTTCTGTCCTGCAATAAAAGCATCATTCAAAGTATAGCACTCAATTCCTTTGGCATATCAATCATAACATGCCTTCTTTTCATGTGATCAGAGTGAATGAAAGCAAAGCAGTTCATTCAGCAGTTATCTCTTGATGTTCGCACAGAAGCACGGCAGAGGGTTTGCATGTTTTTGAAACGCAAGGACAAGGATTATCAAGCAGCAAATGACTTGGATTAACCAAATTTACATCAGACCCAGTTCATTCTTGATATAACTCAACTGAAAGCAGTGATTTTTGCTCCAGGGGTTAACAAAAAAAACAACCCCCCACACACACACACACACACATGCACACATTACAGAACAGGACAACTAAGTGTGAAAGTCATGCTGGTAATGCATAGGACTTGGGTGCTTAACTTCTCACTTGCTCCTCTGAAAAAATCTCCCCCTAAAGCCTACGATACCCTCAAGATTTGACCTGGAGAAAAAGGTTTTTAAAACCTCCTCCACATTGAACACCTGCAGTGAACTGGCCTCAGTATGTCTCAAGGTCGAGGACAAGGCCAAAAATCACCTAAGCAAATGCTAGGGTTGGTGCAAACACTAACGGTAGCATCCACCTTCATTTTTCCCTTTGCAGTGCCAACATAATGCATATGCACATTTTAAAACTCACTTATAATAGGTCTTAAACACAGGTTTGAAGAATTTCAACCTACATGCACTTTTATTTGGGGCAATTTGTCTTTTAACATTACTCTAAGGACTCACTTGATCTAACTTTTTTCTCACTATCTGTTCATAAAAAAGTGGAGGCTTAGGGGGAAAAAATAGCAGACTGTAATTGCGAACAATATAAAACAATCTATTTGTTTACCTGAGTGAAAGATGCAGTGCAGGGACAGCAGGATCTTTTTTAAAGCTTTTCAGGTTGTCTGTGAAAATTAGCTTCCCCACGTCACAATTTCTGCAAGAGGGGAAAACAGGAGATAGATCTTTTCTCTATGGGCTTAGAAATACAAAGGCAGCCCAACAGTTTCATACATATCCAGGAGAAGTTGGAGAGAAACATGATTTAGTGACTATGAACATGAGCTGATTGTCAGGAGATTCGGCATCTGTAAAATGGAGATACTTCTTTGTGATGTGCGCAATCTCCGTTTCTTTAGTCCCGGGAACTTCCTCAGGCAATTGGTTTTTCACTGGCACAATGTGAATCTTCACAGTCTACAGAAAAAGTTGGAGAGTTTTGGGAACGGAGATCATGAAAACTGATCAGCGACTGGTAAAGAATTCTGCTTTGCTGCAACAGGTAAAATGTGTCATGAATGGACAAGTCTCTGATTTTATGCTGTTCAGTTCCTTGATATTCTATAATTTATCTGTGTAATCTGTCCAGCGGCAGAGAAAACAACCCAGTAGCCAGTCCTCTGCTTCTGTTTCTACTCTATTTTTAATTCTGGTACAAATATGGAAATCATTAGTGTAAGAGAAAAGCCAGGTGAGGAGTCAGGCCCATGAAATATATTGTTATCTTGATGCAAAAGATTTACTATAGGAGTCTCATCATCAATACAGTTTCTTGCTATGCTATATTTACTTTGTCCTTCCCCCCTGCAACATGCTATGTCACAGACAAAGAACCAGGCAACTTACTTGAATATCTGAAAGATTTGTGCGTTCTCAGCTGTCAGATAAAATAAACTCAAATGAATCCTGAAAAATCTCCCCTCTCAGATGGTGGTAGTATATGAGGACATAAAAAAAGATCCCTTTGCAAGAAGCTCAATACAGGAATACCTTGAAAATACAACAGAGCAGAAATAGTTTTCAGAAAAAAACACTTTGCTTTTTTCTCCCTCCATCAACTCCTAAACCCATTCCAGAGTAGCATACTAGCTTCAGAAACTACTACTGGCATGCATTTTTAGCTGGTCTTTATATTAAAGACCTGCCTGTCCTAAAAAGGTTACCATTAATCCAATTGCTAAATAACATCAGTTGGTAGTTTCTTTAGGGCACCATAAGCATTCTACCTGGTCCATCTGGAAGATATTTCGTGAAAGTCTTGCCAGCACTTGGTGGCCTGGTTATTTTGTAGAGAATATAATCATCACTTGAGTCAAAATCAAAATACATTAGCATGTGCTTTTCTATGAGGACTGTCTCTCCTTCATCTAGCTCAAAGAGGATGTTGTTCACCAGGATTGGTGGCCTGTCATCTTTAGGAAGGATATTAATGGGGAACTTACATCTCATGCTGTGCCTTCCATCATAGATTCTGAAGACGATATAGTCTTTGGTTGTGTCACTATCATCATGCTGGTAATGGGCAACTCCATCTTTGATATCTTTAATTGTAAACCTAAATCCTTTGCCTCCTGTTACATAAATGCAGGACAAAAAGGTTAACACATGATACTGTTTCTAGCAACAGGAAAGTTACCAATAAAATGTTCATGTTCACAAAATCTGTTCTGTGGGTAAGGGCTTGATACAAAGCCTGTTTATGTCAACAGGAGCCTTTCCATTGACTTCAAAGTAGTCAAACAGGAGCCCAAGTACAGGGCTACATTGTGCTGTAGTAAAGCTTAGGAACCCTGAAATCTGCACACACCTACTACAATAATGGAAAAAGCTTGAATCCACAAGGTTGTTAGCCAGTGACATTCTTATCATTTCAAGTTTTCATTATTTTATTCAAAATATTGGGAAAACAATCAAAATATTAATTTGGGCCCAAGAAGATAGTTGGAGTATAAGAGTTCTGGCAGACAGAGCAGTTGAGCATAAAGTTTGTAGACACCAGGTGTAGCTTTGCACTCAATCCTTAGTTTAGCGCATCTCTGATACAGCGTACCTTGAACTGTGATCCATCCATGCTGTGGACCTTCCACCACCTCCAGCTGAACTGCATCAAGATTATCATTGTCTACAATCTGGAGGGTGTCCCAGGTAACTGCACGTGACTGTCCTTCCAACAAGCCAAGCTCTATAATATGTATGTATACATGTAACAATTACAGATAGACTGTAGAGATTTGGATGACTGAAAATCTTATGCAGAAGACAGTACAGCCAGAGACTATGAAATAAAAATTCCCTTGTGCACCAGATTTAAGTGGGTGGGCTGGATGCAGAGGGATTCCATGAGATTTCAGAGAAAGCAAGGACATATTTCCCAAAGTCATATAGCAGAACAAAGGGAGTACATAAACCTGCATGAGTTCCCCTGTCTACCCTGTCTCTCGGGTATGCATCATACACACTTAGTCTAGGTGCAGACAGTTAAAAAGCCCGAATTCAATCTTTGCAGGTTAGTCTATGCTGCACAGATTGAACTGATAAGCAAGTGAACAGACATTCATTTTTGATTATGGAACTGCACTCACATGCCTACAGTGGCCCAGGCCAGAAGTTGTGGGGGTGGGGGGCATGCTACAGCATGCCTCCCTGCTTAGCTACAGCACACAGCTTGGGCCAAGGCTAGCTTGCCCACCCTGCAAAGGGGGGGAGGGGGTTGCAGGGGAGGTGCAAATCATCCTGGGATGCTGGAGAACTAAGAGTTAATTTAAATCTGGAGGGGATATGGGACAGATGTTCAATAAACCGATTTAACCTAAATCAGTTAAGTCTGATATTACATACATCTATGTTTATCTTAAACTGGTTTAAACTATTTTGAATTTCTGGGCCTGGTTGAATATAGTATCGGACTTAACTGATTTGGGTCAAACCAGTTTATGAAACTTCTATCCCACACCCCTTCCTGGTTCAATCACAGTCCCCCAGCATCCTAGCATGCTTTGCAGCCCTGGGCTGGGTTGGACTGTGGGCCATCTGCTCTAGAAAGCAGGGCTGATCCCCCCCTCCCCCCCCCCCCCAGCTGAAGCAGTAAGGGCTGGCTGA